TAAGCCACAAATAGAACAGACAACTGTTACATCGAAGCATGGTGTAAGCCACAAATAGAACAGACAACTGTTACATCGAAGCATGGTGTAAGCCACAAATAGAACAGACAACTGTTACATCGAAGCATGGTGTAAACCACAAATAGAACAGACAACTCCAACACTTCTTTAAGATCAGATTTTTCAACAGTGTTGTAAAGCAGGGTCAAATTCATCATCCCAATAAATAGTCCAAAAATTCAACATACATAGAAATGTAGAAAACATGGACATGAAATCTGAGTTGAAGCAAAGTTTTTGACATTTGAATAACGCTTTGCTGTCACACAGCCAGCAGTACAAAATGCTCCATCCGGTCACCCAGCCAGGAGAGCGACTGCAACGGACTTCCTAGGTCTGGCGCACAACTGCCCCAAACAGATCATTTTCACCGGCGCATTATTGCGGCAAGTGACCGCAAAGTATTAAACAGCTTTTAGCCTTTCCTGTAAAATAGGCATTTTGGGAAAAAGCAAGACAGACAGACAGAAACAGAAGATGGCAAGCAAATAAGTAGAATCGACCAGTGGCATCAATTGTCAGGGTAAAAAGTTGGAGGAACATTGAGCGAGGCAATATTGGACTAACCTCCCAGACTCCTCCATCTCCCTCGCCGTCGAGCATTTCAAGCACACTACGGCAGCCTCTATCACACTGGAGAACTGATCTCTGGATGGACTCGAACCCAGCCCGTCCACGCTGACACCCCCACCAGCAGGCCTGTGACATACCATGAGAGCCAGGCACATCAGAGCCACACCCTCCGCAGTTATCTCCACGTCCTCACAGCTCTCCTGAAAGTGGCAAACAGCTGTCAGACAAAACAAAAACAGTACTTCGTGCAAACATAAATTTTCAATCATCAGAGCAGGGCCTTGATAGGCTGGAAGTAAGGTGCTAGCCTCTCATGCCACAGTGCTTGGTTCGATCCTAGGCTCATGCACACATAGTAAAAAGATGACCTTTGGTGTTTCTCAGGCCAAGGAGGTGTGAGAGACTTAACCCTTCCAGCCCCAGCCCTTTTTGTGATCTCCCTAACCCCAGTCCCACCCCAATACAACAGTAGTTCAGAAAGAGAGACATGCATTCTAAAAAGTGACGTAGTATCTTTGTAATGAGCTTTAGATGATAACATATAACAATGCTTAAAGGTAAATGAACAAATATTACACATTTCAATTAGGTGCTCTAATTTCGAGAGAGAGAGAAAAGCGCAAATCCCCGCACCCCTTTCGAAACTGAGAACATAAGCTCTTGGGGCGGTGGGAGGTAAGATAAGATAAGATAAGATAAGATAAGATAAGATAAGATAAGATAAGATAAGATAAGATAAGATAGTACTTTATTATCCCAGAGGGAAATTTTCCTTGGCTGTACAGGACCGTAAAAACACATGCAGGTATTCATTTTTAAAAATTCAAATCATATATATTACTCTCATTAAAATTCAATATGAAAGGAGAAGTAAA